ATATATATATATATATATATGTATATATGTAACTCTAGCTTATGGCTTACGGCTCTATACAAACTGGAATCTTAAACAACAAGATCATTACATCGCTACTTAATTATAAATGGCAGAATTATACGCGTTAGTATATAAGTATCATACTTTTTTGAGCGGTTTAACCTTTGCAATTCAATTGTCCAAACTCTCGTTCACCCCCAGTCACCTATCCGTACGTTTAAAATATGTCTCAAAGATTTTTTTATTCTTTCTTATCTTTTTCTTTTTTTCTTTCTTTTTCTCTTTTTTGTAAAAGGTACTATGCGACAACATTGCATTGTATATATGTAGTTGAATCACAGTAATTGATGCTATTACTATAAACAGAAAGATTTAATTAATCACGATCAGCTGGCGATAAAAATACTTGTTATAATTTCTACTCTACTTAAAGCCTAAGACTTTTCTTGTACTTTATGCTTTATACGAGATATAGCCAAATGGATTTGGCAAAATACTAGGAGAAACGTCAGTCGATATTAATAAACCCAAAATATAACGATAAGTAACTGATTAAAAAATTGCTTACAAATTAAGAATGAGCCTTGTTCAGTGTTAACATTGAGGTCAAATTTGTTAGAAGAGGCTGATTGGGATGGTACTTACGTGACGGTATCTTCTTGAATACTGTCTTCGCCATGAAATCTTGAAAACGTTGCGCGTAAAAACCGGGCCGATGTACCGACACAGTGTCCTGTAAACAAACACAAATGGCATCCTTTAACATCTACACGATACGATACATAAATATGAATGACGATGTACGACTAGGACCATTTGAACAATGCTTGTAAACAATCATAAGAGATTAATCGTTATAGAAGAAGGTGGGAAATGTAACTTACACCATCGTGTATCATCGACTTCCAAGTATGTTCGAGCTTTTTCTTGAGCCTGTAACTTTGCAAAATATCAATAATACCAAGGAAGAGTAGTAGGCGCTCGCCGCGGGCGTTGCGAGCAGGAATTCCACCTCGACTGCTAGGAACATGAACACAATTAAAATCACGTTATTAGAGCATACGCTTTGTATACAATCGACATGCGAAGAAATGGAAACACGATACTCACGGTACATCGTCCTCTTCATCTATCGGCTCGCTTTCAGCCTGAATACTCTCCATAGCAGTACTGTGCGCAACCAACCTTTGTCGGTTTATGCTTCGTGATCGGTTCAGGGCGCTGGCTCCTATTCTATCCTCTCGTTCCCGTTCTCGTTCTGCTTGAGTAAATGCTACACTCTCACCTCCGACTTCGCCAACTTCTTCCTCTGCACTCGCTGATAATCTCTGCTCCTGCTGCGATATAAAAATTCTATCTTACTTTTTCCTTTCATAATGGATTATATTTTCGTATCATTCTTGTACCACCTACCGCTTTTTCTCTTGCAGCCTGGTCAAGGTTGTGAATACCAACGAGTAAAGAGTAATCCATGATCTTGAAACTTTCCAACACTCGACAATCTCTTTGAATAGTTTTAACTAGGGCACTATACGTATCCGCTTCTAAGAAGATTCCTTCTGAATGATGCTCCATGAAATCTAAATCTTTATACGTTGGAGAAGATTTGGATCTTTCTGATTTCGATGCCTATCAGTCGAAGGAATATCTCGTTAGATTCGTTGAAAAATGGTGTTCATGAAACTGATGCAAATATGGTAGAATAGCAAACCTTTCTTTTGTACGTCGATCCTTTCAAGTCGTACTTCTGATGCAGTTTCACCGACGATGGCAGAAGGTTATTCATAGCAACTAATCTAACATTTTTACTATTACACCGATAGCAATACAACCCAAAGAATTTTGGCAATAACGTCCTCGGGTTTTGATTTAGATTCTATACACAAAAACTGTCCGTTCCATGATCTGTACTTTTCAACGTAAAACTACAGTCTACGTAAAAGGACATTAAAGCTTACCATATAATATCCTGGAAGAAGCGTTTGTAAAAATTCTCCTTCTTTGTGTTGCACAGTCTTTATGATGAACTCGTCATCATCTGTTAGATAAAAGATACTTCCACTAGCGCCAGGGTTCGATAATTCGCGTAACGGAGCGCTACACATCGACATCTGAATATTCAAGTGGTGTCGTTAGATGGACGCTGATTAGCAAGCGAGAAGAGGATGGCCGTTTTACGGGGAGAAACATAAGGAGTTGAGGTCGATCGTGTTCCTTCGTGATTCTTATGCGAAATGAAGAAAACAATATCGATCATGCGCCGAATGATCTGTACTTACTAGAAAGTCATCCGGTTGGATTCCAAAGAGATCCCGAAAGTAACGAAATGCAATGGGTGCGTAGTTTTTGAACTTAAACTCGGAGAAGTGATGAGCAGGAGTATGATTGGATCCCTCGCTCGGGAAGTTCGTCGTTTCTACCGTCATGAAATCTTGCATCAGTAAATCACGCTCTGGTTTACTTGCTAAACCACCGACTGCATGTTGTATGCCTAGCTGGATGGATCCCATGATTTGCGTCGTTTGGATCTAAACAATTAATGGTATATAACAATAAGGATTTATTTAGGTCAGATAAACAGAAATTCATTTTTATTGCATTATCGTTATAATTCAAGGTAATCTGTTATTATTAGCTACATCGGCTTCTTTTATATTCCTTATCATTTGAAATTGTCAGAGGACATTGTCCTGAGTCAATAAATTTATCTACTTATTGTGATTATTTTCTTTTATCAAAATGTTTACGCTACAGTAAAACGTCATTGCATTTTTCTGCGAGATACCTTTTTGTACGTGATTTCACCTCCCACTCCAACTCTTCTGTGTCCGATCTTTCTCTCTCGCTCCGATTTGTTTCTCGACACCCCAACAGGGGTTTTGGGCCCCATCGTGCCATGTTGGTTTAGCGAATTCTGTAAAGAATCATACGATTATCATATTGCTACGTACATCGCGTAAATTATCAAAGAAAGAAAGAAATTCACTCCGCCATATTTAATCACGGAACTATGCTTCTAAAAATAGCCTCTTTTTCAGCTGCAAATAAATATCGTTACTCGAATTAGTAAGATTTTGATATTTCGAAAATGACAGATTAGTGAGCAAAGGCAGAAAACTTCTATGCAGGTGATTAATTAATTCCAAGCGCAAGAAACTAGATGAAAATGAAATTACTCGCGTCCTCACAGTCCGCCATGACATATTTGAAGGTAAAATTCCTTTGTTATAAATTTTACTCAACTTCGATAGCTGAAATTACTCTATGATAGAGCCTCGAATATTCAGTGTTTGCCGAGACACGAGAGGAAGCAGCGAAGAAGAAATACGCGAGCATGCGTCATTCGAATGAATAATTACACAACTATTCTTGTCTCTAGAGACTCGTCGTATAATGCATCTCATCGCGAGCTGAACCCGAACGTCTTACTCGCGACGTGGCCATTTCGAATCAGTGCTTGAATTTCCGAAATATTCCCGCGCGTTTTTTCCTAGAAAATATCAGTCCCACGTCAGAGTAGATTAGTCGATACGTGAAAGGAGTGTTTACATCGCGTATCGAACATTATCGCGATCCACATCGATGATGAATATGTGCTAGCGTGAAAATAGAACTAATGTTGGAAAACAGAATCTCGAATATAAATCGAATACACGATTGATTATTATATAGGAAATCAGAGGACATCGACGCACCATCTATCGGCCGATCGTTGAACGACGGTACGGGCCGCGGTAAAATTGACGTGTCAAGTGAAGCGATGCATTTGAATGGAGTAAACGTGTGAAAATGCAAGAACAGCGTCGAGATAGCGAGGATTATTCTTATATAACGTTCACCTGCGTCTGTGAGGCATAGTTCCGTGTCTGGTAACGTTACCCCGTTACCGGGCGCTGATTCCTTTTGCTTTAAAATCAAGTGCACTGGATTTCAGCGTTTAAACAAGCACGCACGTTACACAAATGCCGGGAACGTTGTTTTATGTAACACTCTATTATATTTATTATTCATTATGGCATCTGTGTGTAATATAACACTACTTTCGAATAGAAGAAAAAATATGGCAGGATATAATATTATTTATACGGTGTAAATTATCTAGTCTCATATAACGATTTGCACATCGAGAGCATGTAAATAACACTTGTGCGTTTAAAAAGTGTTATACGTGTAAGTAAATCGTTGAAACGGAAGAACGATACGCGACGAGTTGCCTCGAGAATTTCGATAATGGTGCCTACGTAAAGCTGTTTGTTAGTTATCTCTTTCTGCCGTCCGTCGCGTAACGAGTCGCAGCGTGTAAGTGTCAATATTAATATCTATAGGTGGAGCGTCAAGCAAGAATCATCTCCTTTAAAGTACTACCGTATCCGAGAGATATATGCGGGGAATTGTACTTTTTACTTACGTCAAGTGCTGTCACCTTATCCCCTGTAGATTTATCTGTAACATATCGAAAACAACGTGTTTGTTACACGAAATAAGGTCACGTAACAGTTGACTCTCACATGTATATATCTATACATATATACGTGCACGTATACATAAAAACCATATATAATAAGGTCACGTAACAGTTGACTCTCACATGTATATATCTATACATATATACGTGCACGTATATATAAAAACATATGTATATCTTCATATATATATAATACGACGGTGTCGAACGAACGAAAGTCCCGTTTCTAATACGAGCGCAGGGCAGACACGCATGTAAAGAGAAAAAAATCGCACGTTTAAAATGACCGGTCGAATCAATCGTGTGTATTCCGGGAAAGAAACGAGAAAGTGGAACGTTAACCGAGTTCAAAAACGAAAGTCGTGCACACGCTGATTGCGATGTGGATTCACTATTGACACATGTAAGCCTCGGTACCGTTAGTCCCGTTACTATTAAATTTTAGCCCTTGGACGAGGCCTCGTAGTTTCATTCAATCTTCCTACGCGAGAACTAGACGATTCGCGTAAACTTTCGCTACGACGCTAAAAATTCTCAAAGTTCATTCACATTCGAACCGATGTTATTTTTGTGAAGTCCGATTCAGTATCGATTGTGCGACGACGGAAAAAGGAAAAAATCATACAACGAAGGTATCGATAATGATAAAACAAGCCGATTAACGAGGAAGAGAAACAAAGAAGTTGAGAGAAAAGAGAATTTTTCGTACATCTTTTGCAAGGCGGCCGTCACTATACGTTGCGACGGGTGACACCCATCAGCTGTCAAATAGCGAAGTGGATTAAGCACAGTGTAGCCCTGAAAGAGCATACACTGGTCGTCCGGTTGCCGACTTAACAAAGAACGGAACGTAGCGCGAGCATGCGGAAGCGAAACGAAAATCCGATCGGCCACAATCGATCGATCACGCCTATTTCTTCGTCACGTCCCGCGGCGCAAATCCCCGACATCGCGAGAAAGGATGCCCGTGTTATAGGCGTCTGGAATCGCGTTGCTTTTATAGGTTAGGTTGTGACACTTAGCCGGAACGACAAAGAGCTTAACGAGGATAAGAGCTACTCACTGTCCTCGTCCGTGTACTGTTCCGGTCTGAGATGATCCTCTGTGGCTTGTACCGGGCCAGTGAAGCTCGTCTCGACCACCTCGATCACGTCCACATTGTCGCCCGAAGCCATTTTGTACGGACGTGCCTTCTTTCAATCCACCGAGCGCACTGACTCACGTACGACGACGACGATCTTCCTGACAGTTTCGCGAAGGCGCCTCCTCTGTCGTCGCTTTGCACGGCAGCATCTTTCGAGTTCGAGAAACACGGCACGTTCAGGCCGACGCGTACGTAACTCGTACTCCTTTACGGAACATTTTTCGTTTCACTCGCGTGTCGACCGTTTCACTACGGTTAGGGAAAAAAATGTCAATGATACACAGACTCAAAGGCTCTCCAGCTCCGGGCTGAGAACACCCACGAACCTCGAGAGCGCCTCCGGCCTCCCTGCTATTCGTCTATTGACCGGACGCCATCTTGCCCCGATTTGGTTGCCATCTTACGGTGGCACTCGCAAGCTATACATGCCCTGAGGCGCCTTTATTATTAATCGCGTGCATTTTAACGACTTATTCTACACGTATTTTTTTTATACACGAAATGCTATCGAATTGGAAATTCGAAAGGGATGCAAAGATCGAACAAAATTACTAAATAGTAACTAGAAATAAAGAGGTTATAAAAATAAATTTTACTCTGCAATATTTACCGACGGTAGATCTCTGTTGGTTCGAACTGGTGCTCTTTCACCGGAAAATCATGAATATGACTCGATGACCGTATCGGGCTCGAAATAGAAATTGTCTCATGAATAGAGATAAAAGGGAAAAAGAAAACAAGGGATATAGAAAACCAATAACGGAATGTTACATTATATAAGTAACGATGCAAATCCATATATATATATATATGTCTTTTATCAATGAACCTATGCACGCGGATTGCACGACATTGGGGATTACGATAAACTTGTTACGCGTGGAGATTAGTATTAACATACATGAATGCTACCACGCACGATACGTAATTTATGTCATGGTCAGCTGTTACCTTTTATATTTCATGCTGCGATTTAGGAACATTCTATTTCTATTTCCATTTCTATTTACAAATAGAAAGCCTATATACACATATATTTACGCTTCTAAACTTGTAACGAGCAGAATATAGCAACGGATACGAATCTCGTAACGATACCAATCTCGAAATTAATCCCGACCCAAATTCCATCATGCGATGAAGACGTAAATTCTCAGTGGTTGTAAAACTAATTTTTAACTTCGCTAATTAACACCGATCGTTAACTTTAGACCCAGCGATGCCCGTAAAAGTAAGAGACTCGACGTTTTTCGTAGACAAACGTTAGGTTATTTAATCGCGTGTCGTCTTTCGTGTATTCCAGTTGTAACATGGTTAAATTCAAGTGGCCCATCGACAAAGTTCACGTACAAAGATTGCTCCTCTTGAGCATCGTCGGTATGATTTCGTTCGGGATAATAAAGGGTCATCTAGCATACGAGAGAAAGGTAACTATAAAACACACGAAGAAGAATCGTCTCTCTTACTCTTCGTAACGCAATCGCCATATGCACTTATAACACATGACTAATCACTAACTGTCGGAGGAAAAAAAGAGTCATAGACTAAGAACACGACAGAGCGCAACAGGAACACAAGTCGCTATGCAGATTTATCTAAAAAGTTATGAATCATCGTTCGATTTAATTGTTGGCGAGCCGCCCTATCGAAATGACTGGCTAACACCCGGTGTCATTAATCCATCGCGTCGAGTTCGCTCATTAGGGAGCGCATTGATCGTGTAAAGTGTTTCGCATAAAAGGTTTCGCTTAATGCTCGGCCAGATGGACGAGATTTATAGCGGGTAATGTACAATTAATTATCATACCGTTCGATGAAACTTTCTTGCGAGTTCGGCGTTCCCTGGCCATTCCGCTGCGTGCTTCTACGTTACCCATGTGTGTAAGATCTAACACGCCCTAGCCTGGTTGCATCGTTGATGCCTGTTCAGATATCGGATGTTTATATCACGCGATGCGTTCCACGTATCCGAGTTCTCTATTCACCGATTTACACACGGTTCTCGCGGCACGGCGATTAATAATATTTCCACAATGCACGCAACGACACGCACGGGACATCGAATTTTTCCGCAATTTACACGCGCAACCGGGTTAAACAACGGCCGAGTGTTAATCAACGACACGGAACGGAAATGCCAAATATGTTTCGCGGGTTCTTCGCCAGAAAACAGCTGATCTCTAGAGAGAGATGCGTGACGCGTCCGTTGTATCTGATACAAGCCGATTAACCGTTTCTAGAATTCGAACATAGTTCTAAAATGGCTTAACGATCGCACGAGATAACTGGATGTCGCGAGAGCAGCCCGGGGCTGCTCGAATCGTTCAATTTTCATCCTCGCTGTTACGCCGGTGTCCACCATCGTCCACCATATCAATCTTCTCACCGGCCGGTCCCGAGCATCATCGTTTTCCCCGTCTCTGGCCGAGTTCTGCAGGATAAAAACCGATTATTCCGACGCGCGATTTCTGCCTATATTAATCGTCCTTTACCGCTACGAATCCCGCTAGCCCCGATGCCGGAAAGATCGCAAGCGTTAGATCGAAATCAAACGCGCGCCATCGAATAACAGAAACCATTTCTTACCACGGCTAAATGGCAAGTATGCGAATTAAAGCGAGGAACGCGATAATGCTCGTGTGCGTACGCATCCACGATGGTTAGCCACGTAAGTACGTAGGAGCGAAAGGAAAAGAAAAGGAACACACGTTGGGAAAAAGGAGGAAAGGAGGAAAGAGCTGCGAGTTTCCTGTGTGCCCTCGATCCAGCGTGTTCCTGCCGTTTCGCATTAAGCCTCGCGTTGCCCACTGGAGGCTCTGTGTTACAAGATCAGCTGGATCGATTATCGAGCCGTCGATATTTAAGCCGACTAATCAACGATGACCTTAATTAATTCGATAGTAAGATCGCGAGAAGATGTATTAGCGCGAATATTATTACCTATGCACACCGAGTGGGCCCGTGATCGTTCCCTCGCACGGGGCTCGTTTCAGCGGCCCAAAAACCGGGTCACTCGTCGCGCAACGTCGATTCCAACGCGTGTTAAAAAACAGGAAACGTTAATTAGTCCGACGAAACGAGTCCCGCGTACTTGCCATACCGATTGACCTTGTAACTCTTCCTTCTGTTGCGAACAAGGTGTCGGAGTACATGCAACTGTTGGAGCATTACAAGGCGAAGGAAGCCAGCCTCGCGAAAAGCAAGGAATCCTTGGTGAACCGACAGGAGCTGGCGTCTGTCGTGTCTTCGACGTCTGCTGCGGCACAGGGAGAACCATATGCTGCAGTTGACCTGGAGTCAAGTGGAAGATAATCGAATGATAGCGTTGGATAAATGACGATACTCGTGTGTCACGTTTTGTTTAGCATGTTACCGTTTGGTGAAATCCTATGACGCTGAGAATGCTTGAATAAAATTCAAAGATCGATTTAACGTGATTGACAGGATCATGTCACTGTGACAATCACGATAATGCAATGGCAAATTTCATCAGTCGTTTATCAGATTTTCGTTATTCAGCGACCGAATATGTTTGTGGGCAACGACTGTAAAAATGCAAAGTCTTTCTCGCGACATTGGTCAAACGTCTGTGAAGCTTGCTGTACCAAAATTGATTAAGTTTTGGATCGACAATATGAGGAAAATATAGGAAGTTATTAAAATTGAAAGCTAGCTATTTCGATAAAGAAAGAAAATAGGTGACTAACAAGGTATCGTTGGTAACAAACGAGTGGAAATTTGGTAACAGGCACGTGAAACGATGGAATTCTTCCAATTCCACGGATTTTTGTCCATCGTTAGCCGAGACTGCCGCGAAAACAATGGCCATTAGCCACGTTGGAGCTTCGATCGTTTTCAACGTGTATCTGGCCGGTATCGCGAACGTAAGGTCAGGGTGGACATGATATTTCCTGTATCGAGCAGAAGACAAAGGAACAAAAGCTTCTGTCAAAGTACGCGAAGCGTGTAAGTTACCGCGAGTTAAGAGAAATGACCACAATTTGTTGATCGTTAACGCAAAGTTGACCAACTGCTTCGTTAATTACCGCCAACGGAGCATCCTTTTCGCTCCCTGTCAATTATGGAAATTAATGTTGCAATAATATTCGACCCCGATCAAGTCACGTAACTGACAAATTACGAGGCTCGAAATCGTTTCTAGTACAACGAGAACTTATCAGATCCCGTCTGCGCATTTACGTACATATGTTTTTATTACCTCACGGTATGTACTACGTACTATGATTTACTATATCGCAGACTAGCTTGCCAGCCGATTCGTAGAAATATTTCGTAACGAGATCTTGATAAGCAGTTACGAGAGGTCGTTGAAATGATCGTTTTCAAGGTTGCGGAGGAAGCATAGCGTGTTTTCTGTAACGCCTGAAAAATAATTACCAGGCGATGAGACGATATCCTCGGGATATCCTTACGGTGTATGTAACGAACAAGTGAAATTGTTCCTTCGCTTAACGTTATTTGCTTAACGACAATAGGAAACGAGGACTGGCCACTTATTGCGAAACGCTTCTCGCGGTTCGAAAATCGCTTTAGGGAAGCAGATTCAGGCAACGGAAGAGAATAATTTAATCGATAAAATCGCGAATATGAATCCGACGAGTTGTACCTTGGCAACTCGTGCGAGAAACAAGACAAAAAGGAAAGAAAGGTGGGAAAAAATATTGTACAATTAAACCTCCTCGAGCAGTGCGACGTCGAGTTGTCTCACAACTTTGCTGTTCACTGTTTATCGTGAACAAGTACGTTACTCGAGAGTTATCTCCATCTCTTAAATTTTGGGATTATGCATATATTAAAATGTTCTCGATTCGACATTATCACCGTGATGCAGACGAAAAATATCAAAAAATTTATGGGAATGCCACGTATGAGACGTTGAATTACGGTATTGGCTATCGTGCAAGTTTTTGCGACGTTCCTGATATTTGTCTTTTGTGTCCCAACTTCGTAGCCATCGGTATAATTGATTGGATATTATTCTTTGCACGTGTGGTGATCGAAAACATTTCGTTTGCATACCCCACGACGTTATTTCGAGTTAACTGTAGCGTTGAATGACTTTACGCGACCTTCGTATCACTGTCAGGCGAAATTATATCGAGCAATCTTCTAACGACTTTCGAATTATTCTCAAACGATCTCGTACAACCTTGAAGAAACTTTCAACTGCTTTTCAATATCCTTGAAGCTACATTCGAATAGCCTTGAATGACCTTGAGGTGATCTTCAGACTACCTAGTCGGCGTGTTAAATATTTTCAAACTATCTCTAGGTGTCCCTGTAGTAAATCTAATGCAAATATGAATCACTTCAAATGACACAGAATTGCTTCTACTAATTTCGAGATGACCTTCGAGTGATTTCAATAACCACTCCTGCGATGTGTTTCGAAGGTAAAAGGACTCGAAAAACATAATAAGAGTACACTTTTCTCACTAGACTCAATGACAGAAAGGAAACGTGTCTCTTCTATGCATCTCGTGCCAAAATCTCCTTGCTCCACGCGATAAAAGAATATCACCGATTCGTAAAATAAGTCGATCTAGTGCCATCGTTTGATGTAACATTTGGAGCTAGTTAATTGACCGATCTAACGACAATTTCGCATCTTTATTCGATAATGTCAGTGATAAATTGCTGCCGCTCGTTTACATAAGAGATAAAGCTGTTTGCGAATATCTTAGTCAGTTCGCGTGCTATGGCGACACAACGTATGGCATTCATCAGTCGGTTTAACTAATTCGTTTTGGGCCATGTATGCCGCTGTGTCTCCTACGCGATTCGCTAGTTAAGGCTATCGTGTACTCGCCCAGAGGCTTGCAGAAGAACGTACGCGCTCGAGGAAACAAGAATCCGCGCGAGGTTCCATGGTGTAAATCATCCAGAGCGCGTGAAAGATTACGACCCATCTCAGAATGTCGCACAATCATAGAAGTAGCATTATTTCTGTTGCAGATAATGGTATCAGAGCGAACAAGAGCAATTTCAATTTCAGTGAGTCACTTTGTTCTTCGAACAACTACGATATTTATTCGAATCTTTCAAACGTGTTCTCTGCGGAGAAAGAGAAGAAATATTTTTTCTATGTATCCCTAATAGGTAAGGAAAATCGAAATGACCAGCCAGCAAACTTCGAGACAGCCATCGCGGTAGCTGGCTGTGGAAAATTTCAGTATCTTCTCCTGCTGGCGATCATTCCTGTATCATGGGCCAGTAGTATCGACACTTCCAGTATCGCGATCATTCTTCCCGCCGCAGGATGCGACCTGCAAATGACATTCTTCCAGAAGGGCTTCCTGAATGCCATCGTATTCGTAGGTGCGTATGACATAACTCATTCCCCAAGATATATCTTTTCCACGTTGCAGTCGTTCATTCGATCCCTTCAGGAATGGTTTCCAGCGGCTATCTATGGGGCTACATCGCCGATGTTAGGGGCAGGAGAGCCGTATTCCTTTACGGCTATCTGGCTGATGGAATTTGCAATGTCCTGTCAGGGTTCTCCCAGGACTTCTGGACGCTTGCCTTCTTTAAATTCCTCAGCGGTTTCATGTGAGCCTACAACAGCTATTCTGCGTTCTCTAAATGTTTAATTGCTAATTCGTATCGCTGCGGATGATCGTTCTTCGACAGAGTAAGCGGCCCTCACGCGTCCATCGTCACCTACACCTCCGAATTTTACGGAATCAAGGGAAGAGGGAAGATCCCGTTGCTCGTCGGCTACTTTGTCACATGCGGGAACATCGTGAGTGCAGGTGAGACACGCGTAATCGAGATAAAACGTTCGTTTACACGTTGAATCACTCTAACTTTCAGCACTCGCGTTACTCATAATTCCGCAACGCTGGTCCGTCGACCTGTGGGACGGCGCCATCGTGTACAACTCGTGGAGAATCTTCCTGTCCTCCTGCGGGGTGCCAATTCTGATCGGCCTTGCCTTCCTCTCCTTGTTCCCGGAGAGTCCCAAGTTCCTCATGTCGCAGGGTCGCATGGAGGACGCGATGAAGGTTTTCAAGACGATTTACAGGATAAACACCGGCAAACCCGCCGCGGAATATCCGGTCAGATGTTTTTGGAATGGCTGTTTAGATAGTTTGCCGGGTTTTTGAGCGATTTAGCTAACCAACTAGGTTTCCGAAACGCGACGAAATGAACGGTGATGGTTTCTGTTCAAGATACAACATTTAGAAAACGATCTTCCTAAGGAAGGTTCGGATGATATGGATCGGGATGGGAAGATCGAGAAGAAGGCGATATTCTTTTATCCCTATTTGTCCCGAATTCTCTTGGTCACTGTCATGCAATTTGGGTCGATGTACGCGTAAGTACTCATTCTTTGATACGCTAAATTGCGGTTATATCATCGTCGAGGTAAACACGATTATTCGTGATCGTTAATAACGTCATCGGGAAACCTGCAGATTAATTGTTATTAAAAAGCAGTTACGATATAATTCGAAATTGATTTGTTTCGTCGGAGTGTGACATTCGTGGTCAGCGATCACGTTTGCTTTATCTATAAATACGTCCAGTTGCCTTGTGCATCGAGCATCAGACAACCGAGGCGTGACGTTTATCGGAATTGGTATAACGTCGAAGGTAATCGTAATAAAGACCGTTGAACGTCAGCGATAAAGCAATCTTGTCGGATTATCGTATTCTCAGACGGAAGAAAGCCTAGTGGTCGAATAATCTCTCCGCGATTCTTTGTTTCCGCAGAACCAACACGATTCGCCTGTGGCAACCTCAGCTTTTTACGATACTGGAAAATTTTGATGCGGAAGATTACGACTTGACAGCGGGACAACAGACGTTTTGCGAAATCTTGGATCTCTCCTCTACCTCGGCCAACGCTTCCGCAACAGGCGTAGGAAACGCGAGCTGTGCAAATGTGAGCAACCTAGTTTCGAATTTTCGTCATCCACTGATCGATCTAGTTTCCCTTTCTATCTCTGTCATTTACGATAATTTTTACATTTCTTAGATAACAGGTTATCATTTTTAGCTCCTCGTGGACGAATCTGTTTACGTGAACACGATCATCGTGTATATCTTCAGTTCCTTCCCTATTTTGCTGACTAGTTTCTTATTGAACATTTTAAATCACAAGATCTTGCTGTGTAAGTACTGACTAATGAAACTGTATCACGTATTCCGAGTAACTCGTTCACTTAACTGTCTACGCTATCTTGAGCATGAATCAAATATTTTGGAAATGGCGAGTGTCTATTTCATCGAACTCGGAAAATGAAAATAAAAAAGTTGCAATATCGCACGCTTCTTGGAAATGAAGAAATAACGAGGATACTCAGTTTGAGCGAGTTTGTGGGACACCCTGTATAGCACCTAGATAATACAGACATTTCTCGATTGCAGACATTTGTTACGGTATATCGTTCGCGTGCATAGTTTACATAAACTGGTCGTCCAGTACGCTGATGACATTACTGCTGGCGAGCTTGATCATCGGATTGATGAACACCACCCTGAGCATCAACGTCGCTGCGACCGTGATTTTGTTCCCAACTTCCTTAAGGTAGAATCTAGCGAATAGTAAGTCGCATGCATAATCGACTAAAGCTAAATCAGGATTTTCCTTGGAAACTAGGACGATAGCGGTGAGCCTGGTGATGCTGGTCGGAAGAATAGGGTCGATCGTTGGGAACCTTCTCTTCCCAGTTCTGCTGGCGCAAGGATGCCTGGCACCGATGATCAAGTTGGCGTGCCTGGTGTTACGTAAGTGATGCCCTTTTTCAATCGAACATCCCTCTGGCCAAAATACCACAACTCTTCTCCGTCGTAGTATGCAGCATTCTAACGTGTTTCCTTCCGTTGACCAAGAAGAAGGCCAAGCAGTAAGGAAAGTCTCGTTTCGCAAGCATCCGCGGAATCAATTCAACTTCCATCCACGCCAGAGCTTCCGAGGCTGGTCCTTCGCTGGAAACCAGCAAAGTTATCGTCTGGTCGAGGCAGGGGGTTGACTCGGGGAATTGGGCTAACGTGGAGAAGGCTGGACGGTATCGGGAAAGGTCGAGGGTCCGAAGATAAAATAGATTTATACGTGACTGCGTTGCGATATTAAGCTCGTCCCGAAGAAGTTGCCAGTGAAGGAGTTTCCACGTACGTACACGCTCCGACCGCGAGTGATAGATCGCATCTCCGGATAGCCTACAGACCTCGTTCTCCAACGTTAAACCGGGGAATTATACCTATCCTTGAACCGCTGCAGCGTGGTCAAAATTGCCAAAAGGAAGGGTGATCTGGAGGAACGAACGCTATTTGGCGCGACGACGAGGTCGCTGGAACGAAAGTAGCGAGGCGGCAGGAAAATAGGATAGAGAGGAGATCGATGAAGAAGCATGGGAGTATAGGTTAGAACAACGACAGCGGGAATTACGCAATGGAAAGGGTGGATGTTTCCAGCTGGACACTCTTCACGGTCACATTTTCAGCCGGTGGATCAGATCGATCTCGATTTAAAACAATGATCGAGCGCGTCGAGGACGTACGCGGCGTTCCTCGGTCGGCGTGAACACGATGCTGCCACGGGGGCCTTGGGTTTCACTTTCGACACATCCTGGAGAGCCCTCCGCTGCAGCCTTCACCCACATGCTCGTTCTTCTCGATCCCCCACGTACAGCGGCTCCGTTCAGCCGGCGTTTCGTGTGGACGCGGCTTTATCGCGCGCCCGGAATCTCGACACCTTCGCGGCGGCCACGTTGATCGAGTAATTACTCGTGTCCATAAAAGTTGACGCGAGTATTACAATGAGAGAAAGTGGCAGAGAGTCTCGTCGAATACAGCGTGTACTCATGGTGTAGCTGTCACACTCCGCCTAGGTATTTCGTTTTTAATTTCGTTGCTTTCCCAAGGGATTCGACCCGAATGCTTCGCATACTCGAATGTACCGGCTGGCGAATGTGCCGCTGATCTATGTGTCGGTTCTCTGTGTCCTTGATCGATGGAATGTTCGCGCGGATTAATTGCATATGGTATTAAGCGGGAAACGATATTCCGCGTTTAGTTCTCGTAGAATTCGAACAGACACGTGGGCTTAAGAGCGATTTTAAAGTTTCCATGTAATTAGAGTAGATGCTTGTTATTGTGCGAATGGGATTATTGTAATTAGGACGTTAACAGTCACGATCTGCGAAATATGGAAGCGAGAAATGAATACACGTTTAACCGTAGTCGTAGAACGAACGTAATCGAATTAACGGGAAACGAATGGCAATAAATGCTGCTCGTTAAGGAGAAATTATGCTCGAGCAAACACTGCATTCCTTGACTTGCCGATTTCCAATATTATCTCCCAACTACATCACAATGCGCACGCAGATCTCGTCTACAGCCATACGTTTTACTTTAACCACATACTTTAATTTCTTTGCTCGAAAGTAAGCCTGGGTAAGGTCGTAAAAGGTATCGCACAATGCCACGAAGAAAGAAATTACTAGGGTGGAATTGACTCGCGCGTTCTGCGTTTCCTCGTTATTCCGTGCTTCGCGTAAGAAGCACCCAAGGTGGCGCCTAGGACGGCATTCCGAATAAATTGCGGAAGGGAGGCGCGTAGAGTACGCGTGTCGGTGGAAAAACGTGTTGGCACTGCTTTCGCCTTTTTCCCTCTATCTTGTTCACCTTTCGAGATTCCCGCGTTGTTAACACACTGGCGAACACCTCTGTACGACTGTCGTTCGTCATGCTGCAAAGTACAGTGCCGTCCGTATATATGGCCACCAGTCTGCTGTGGAACACCTTCCTTTTCACGTGGCCTACAAGAATTTGCGAGTATCCAGACCTACGCACAAATTCGGTACGTGTAAACTGTAAAAATATTCGGAATTTTTGAAAAGATTAATTGTATTTATATTTCGTTGATTTTAGTAACACTTAGTTTGGCTAAGAACCCAGTGTGGGGATCTTAACAGTGTCGTTTCGGTATCGTTTCGTGGACGTACGCTCTCGTACTATATATGGCCAGGCTAGATCCCGATCGTAGGCCATATAAGTGACCAGTATCGTATATCGCGTTTCCTAGATCGATCCGAGAATTAACCGATGGGACTATCCGGTACATCAACGAACCGTTACATCGGCATATTCGATTAGCTATTAACCGATGAACAGTCGAGGGAAAAAAGTGCCACGTCGATACAGCCACCGATTCGACACAGGAATGAACGGATACACCAGAGGACGAGACGGTGGAAATAAAATAACAACGATACAGGGTGTCTTGTGAAAGCGGTGCCGTCGGTGGGCCCACGGTCTCTCTAATCATTCTTTACGGACACGAAGACGTCGTATCGCGATTTCACGGCCGCTATTCGCTCGATCGTTCTTTCTTCCCGAGAAATAAAACAGACGGCGTGGGTACGGACGGCAGCAGCCAGTCGCATCAGGCTCGATCCGATACTGTTAACTCTTCCCGCGAAATTCACGAATCATCCGCGCATCCGTTGTCTCTCATCCTCCGTTTTTCTCTGCTCTGTTAGCGAAAGCGATGATTTCCACTGGACTCGACGGTTGGGTGCCACACACGCTCGGGTGTCGCAAATCACGGGAGATAGGGGCTTTGGACACGACTAGTTTGATGGTCGAGCGCAGCCAGGTTTCCAGAGTACCTTTATCCCGAGCGAGATTATCTTCGCGAGATTATTCTCGAGTTACGACGGATTCGTGGCCCATAGAATATTTTCTTACTCAAGTAGATGCTTTACTGGACGTGGACCAGGATCTGTGGTAGATCTGGCCGTTTCAAAAAGCGTTTTATGCCTTTTTAAAGGGTCAATTAAAGTTCCCGTTTCTTCCCAATGGACCACCCTGTGCACGGATTTATTTACGTCGTTTCTTCATGCGTCGTTTCGAGGAAACCGGCGCAATAAGCTTGACAGTCTCTCGTCGAAATTGTCAGAGGAGTATCCCCTAGGCAAGAAGCCGAGAGTCACTAGGGAACAACAGGAGAGGTGTAAAATGGCCGCCCTCCGGCCGAGAGACTGCGCTCCGAGTACCGTCTTTACCCTTTAATTTATAATGGTACCGTCACGACGAGATTCCGCGCGAATTTTATTCCATCACCATGAGATTTCCGCCGTTTCCTTCCGGCTCACAGGCCGATGACTCTTTCTCGAAGACTAAAGACAGGAAATGCGAACGAATGCAAAGTGGCTCAATGATCACTAGCTAACTTACCGATGTCAAAGCGGCGGTAATCCAGAATTCTCCAGGAATACTGCAGATTTGTCACGGTCTTCATTGACATCGAAGACAGAGATGATTGTGGAAGCTTGAAATGAGTTTCACTGTGGTTACCTGGAATCGAAAAAGACGAGTCATCGTTCGTCTCAGTCGCTGGACAGTCCACTGGCCGGATGTTTGCTCGTTCACAGTTACTGCACTCGAAAATGCATTTCGACAAACGCTGATAGCCATCGGTTTTCCTCCATGGGTATTACGAACATACAGTTTGATACTTTTCTCCTGTATTTGCCGTACGTATAATCGAGGGAAAGCTCGTTTAACGATCTGTTATTCTTCCGCGAGGGAACAAGGCTAATGCTGGAACCACTAGACCAATCTGGTTCCAGACTCTTGGTCTTTGCGGTCACTGTGGAAAAATGAATTTTCACTTTTATCGAATAATAACGTAATCGTTAAATTGTCCAATAAGTAATATGAAACTTTTTTAGCAGACGGTGAAATTTGTAGACCAAATTATATTTGGTGAACCTATTTTTATTTAAAAGAAAATCACCATTGTTTCATACTAAACATACCGACATTACGTTCTTACCAATTTAGCGTAACGATATATTTTCTAGCTAAATGTAAATTTTATATTTTATCGATTATTGTTAGTTTATTCTTTATTAATATTAATTTAGTATTTTATATATCTTTTACCACGCTAATTGAATCATTAATTCGAAAGTGGTAAGCAAGTAATATTACTACAAGGGTATCATGGGATATGAAAGTCGAAAAGTGATTAATTAACGTGTCAGTGTATATACTTATTCATTCCAGTTATTTTAATTACAACCCACATATGCTGTTTATACACGCATTACGTGTCATTGGTCCGAATATTAAAAGAACGACGAGGAAGTCGCGAGATGGCTTCCTCCGAGTGTAAGATAAATGCAAAACGAGATAACTTTTTGGGCCCCGGTCATCAGTGAAATCCGAAAGACATGCTCGACGGGCAATTACATAACTAATCCGCTACTCGACGAGTCGTAATGTTTCCTGAATCAGTGTTAGCATCACGCCGGTGGCTATCATTATCGTAAGCGACAGTTAATAGTCTCGAATGGAGCTATGCAAATGGACGAAGCGATTGTTCCTTTTTACAGAAAATTCAAGCTCTACCCCGCGGCGGAATTTATTACGCGAGCTCGCGGTGAAAACAAACCATATCTCTGAACTCCCGCGTCGAAGAGCGGGGATAACGATTAACTGATTTCTCGACGAAGAAAAGTATTACGTACAAGTGAACTTTATACTTTCTTTGTATTAGCTTTTCAAGCGATAGGTTACGTAATAGTGAATCTTCTTTGCCGTTACTATCTCACGAAGAAATTCGCGACTCGGGGAGTTGAATTGGGGAGGAAAACTAGTGCGAAGTTTCGGAAAGAAGCATTATCGAAATTTAGAATGAGATACGATGGGTCAGGAAAGTGTTCGAACGCTATATTTCACGAGAATTCTCTGACCCAAAAATTCCAATTTTAATAAAAGTTTACGTGCGCGTGAAGGATAACGAGTAACACACGAAGTCATTTTTCTGTCGATAGGAAATAACGTTGAGGGGGTAAAATCAACGATTGTTAAAAATTTAATCTAGGGATAGAACAAAGCTATTTAATTTATAGTACTCTTTTATCCTGTAGTAAAAATTTCTCCCTATGGGGTCCCATTTAAGAAACAAAAGATTGTTAAAGGTTTAATCTGTTGTTTCTTAAATGGGACCTCATAGGGAGAAATTTTTACGTTTAATGTAGCTGTATAGTGATGCAGGATAGAACAGAGCTATTCGAATAAGGAATATTTAATTTATAGTGATCATTTATCCTACAGTAAACATTTCTCCCTATGGGGTCCCATTTAAGAAACAAAAGATTGTTAAAGGTTTAATCTGTTGTTTCTTAAATGGGACCTCATAGGGAGAAATTTTTACGTTTAATGTAGCTGTATAGTGATGCAGGATAGAACAGAGCTATTCGAATAAGGAATATTTAATTTATAGTGCTCATTTATCCTACAGTAAAAATTTCTCCCTATGAGGTCCCATTTAAGAAACAAAAGATTGTTAAGAGTTTAATCTGTTGTTTCTTAAATGGGACCTCATAGGGAGAAATTTTTACTATAGGATAAAAGAGCACTATAAATTAAATATTCCTTATTCGCATAGCTTTGTTCTATCCTGCATCACTATACAGCTACATCAAAAAGAAACAGAGATTGGACTGTAACTTCGAATAATGATTTCACCCATATAAAGATACATCTACGAATAAAAGGGATTAATTCATGTGTAATTCGTTGCATTTTGCATACGCGCATACTTCCATTAAAATCAAAATTTTTCAGTAAGTGTATTTCTTTGAAACATGTATGGCGTTCGAGTCTTTCGCGAATCATAGTATATCAAAGAAGGGTAAGAAGAAATGTATGGTAAATTAAAATATTCCACCGTTTGTCGAGAATAACAATAATGAGAATAAGTAATCGAACAAAGAAAATTTAGTATTTTATATCCTAAATTTCAAGTGCTCAGCGAGTAGCGTGCAACGATATATCATAGTCAGCGCTAAAAGGGTTAAGTACGCGTAAAATCAGCCGGAGATACTCCGGAGCACAACGGAAAGTAAAATGTAGGATATGGCGAAATTAGCATGCAGGTATATTAATAGTATTTACACGCATCGACCGGGTGGTCCATTGTAAGCAATTATCCTCGGGCCTATTA